ATTTTACAAAAGATCTTCCATGTGGTTCGTGTTGTTTCGGCTGGCCTAGTACTGTGATAGGCGCCATCACGACCGGGGTATTTGGGGTCGTGACATTCATATAACTAAAACCAAAAGCACCAACTTGCGGTGAAATGAGCAAGTTTTAATTTCTCTCTTTCTCTCTCTTCTTTTTTCTTCTAATGGCTTCGTCTTTATATTCCTATAATCTGATTAAGTGTCATATTTTGCTTTGTAAGGTCAAGTTAGACCATATTGAATCAGTCTCCTGTTTTATGGATAAAAATTAAAAGATATAAAATACCCTTTAAATATTCATCAGTGAGATACCCAGTTTTTCATATTACGAATAATGAGTTCCTTAAATTTACTAACACTTACAATTAGTAGAAAGAAATTTATGCTTGTTTAATAAAAACTAAAAAATAGCAAAAAAGTTAAATTAATAAAAAACTTATTAGAGTAACATGAGTCTTGTGAGTTGTGATTCAATAGAATTACTTTAATCTTTTTGTGAGGCGGACCTATTATTTTTGTTCATTACCGTTCTTTGATTTTTGTTTTAATAGAAATGTCAGCAGCTTCTTAATTATAAATTTTTATACAAAATAGTCTATACACGTTGGATAGATAAGATTAAGGTAAAGAATAATATGTGTACACTTTTATACATCATACAACTATCTATACATGTTGGATAGATAAAAGTGCTCGGGATACAAAATAGACTGTCACTATACAAAATAGACTGTCACTATATAAAAAAATATACAATAGACTGTCACTATACAAATATATACAATAGACTATCACTAAATATATATAAAATAGACTGTCACTATACAATTTATATACAAAATAGACTGTCACTACACAAAATACATACAAAATAGACTGTCACTATACAAAATATATACAAAATAGAATGTCACTATACAAACAATATAGTCACTATACAAAAAATCTACAAAATAGATATTTCGGGCTATTAAATGTAATATGTTTGGGCCGGAGGGACATTGTCACAACCCAAAATCCAACAAAGGTCGTGATAGCGCCGGTTACCGCTGTCAGGCAAGCCAACAATAAATAATTAACTTGGTTCTCATTTTAGTATTCTTGAAATCATAATTTCCTTAAGTTGAATAATAATTGATGAACTTCACATAGAAAATAATAATGTTTTTTGCAAATTTCAGTACTGAATAATCTCATAATCATCCCAGAACCCGGTGTCACAAGTGCATGAGCATTTACTAGGAATTAAAATAAAAATACAATATATGTCCAGAATATAAATTTGGATAGAAAAGAAAATACAAGTACTCTGAAGGAAACACTGGTGGCAGCGGATCGTCTCACAAGATGCAGCTCACCTAAGTCCCCATATCAACCATGTCGTTGTGCCCACAAGACTACTAGACGTACATGTGCCTGTACAACAAAATGTACAAAAAGTGTAGTATGAGTACGAAAACAATGCATACCCAGTAAGTATCCAGTCTAATCTCGAAGAAGTAGTGACGAGAGGTTGACCCCAACACTTACTATGGCCATTTTTAATATTTTTAGTCGTGGATTTTATTAAAAACGGCAGTAAACTCAAGGAAATCATGAAGCAAGTAAACAATCCTCTTGGTAATAAGAGATTTCCAAATTTATTTTTCATCATTTATCAATTTATCTCAGATCAGGGAGGCAATTTCATTATTTATAAATTTTCAAGCAAGCAATACAAGCATGTGCAAATCGTACCGAGGTCGTACGGCCCGATCCAACATAATATTTAAATGGTGCACTGCCAAAGAGTCGAACGGCGCGAACCATAGATGCATATATTTAATCTACCGAGGCGTTCGGCCCGTTGCACAAAAGATAAACACCAAACAGTCAATCAAGAATTCATCAAGGGGCAGTTATCCAAGGAAAAGGCAATTTCTCCTTTAAAAGTCAAGAAAATGATGTTTAGCCTTTTAGAAATTTATTTACCAATTTCGATATGGTTTAAGCATTTTAAATTGACAATAAGGCTGCAAATATTGCAAGTAAAGCATGTTTTTGGGTCCTAGACTACCCGGACTTAAGCATAATAGTAGCTACGCACGGACTCTCGTCACCTCTTGCGTACGTAGTCCCCGCAAATAGGAGCCTATATTGATTTAGTTCACCTATGGGGAAAATTCCCACTTACAAGATAAGAAAGGAGACTTACCTCGTCTCAAGGCCTACTTTTCGGTCCAAGAATGATCTCAAACCCCCAAATCGGTGCCGAAAAATTCAAAACTATTCAAATGGTGTATAAACAAATCAATATACGCTCAAAAATTCATATTCCAACTATTAAGGTGATTACCTAACCCTAAATGCATGATTCCTAAAATTTACTCCAGGGCCCACGTGCCCGGATTCCGAAAATTTTCGAAGAAAGTAGTTACCGATAACCTTATGAAGTCAAATATATGATTTTTACCAAATTTCGTAACCATTTTCGTGGTCAAATCTCATTTTTATCCAAAAGCTAGGTTTTCATCTAAACCCTTGATTTTACTAATTTTTACATGTTAATCTATCCATAATCCATGTATTAAACTCATGTTGTGTAGAAATTATTTACCTCAATGTGCTAGGTGAAAATCCTCTTCCAAAAGCTCCAAAAATCGCCCAAGAGATGAAAGGAAATGAGCTAAATGGTCTAAGTCTCGAAATTAATAGCTGTGCACGGGCCTCAGATGTTGCATTTGCGACACTTGGTAAGCAAATGCGAAGGTCGCAAATGCGACACAATCATCGCAAATGTGAACCCTGGGCTTTTACTGCCTAGGTCGCAAATGCGACCCAGAACTCGCAAAACTGAACCCTGTGAGGCTTGCAAATGCGACTGCCTTTCTCGCAAATGCGATCCAAGCCCAGGCTAGGCTTCTTCGCAATTGCGAAGTTTACTCGCAAATGCGAACCAATACTCGCATTTGCGATACCTGCAATACCATCAAAAGAACACCAGAAAACTGAAGCTTCCAAACACCCAAACTTGGTCCGAAACCATCCTGAAACACACACGAGGCCCTCGGAACCTCAACTAATTATATCAGCGCATCCCAAAACACGTTACTAACTTAGTTGAGCCTTCAAATCACCTTAAACAATGCCGAAATCATGAATCATACCCCAATTCGCACTTTATGAACTCTAAAACTACAAACTTCTACATTCGATGCCGAAACCTATCAAATCACGTCCGATTGACCTCAAATTTTGCACACAAGTCACATTTGAAATTACGGACCTACTCCAACTTCAAATCGGATTCCGATCCCGATATCAAAAAGTTCACTTCCGGTAAAACTTCTGAAAAACCTTCAAATTCCTAACTTTAGCCAAATGACTCCAAAATGACCTACGGACCTCCGAATCCACTTTCGGAAGCGCTCCCAATACCAGAATCACCATACGGAGCTATTCCAGGCTCGAAGTCCCAAACGGATATCGATAACATAAAAATACACCTCCGCCCCAAGTTTATGAAATTCTTCAAAAATGCTAACTTCCACTATAGGCGTCGAAACGCTTGGCACACCTCCTTTTTCTACCCCGGAAGGGGTATAAGTGAGTTTTTTCCAATTAAAGTGACAATTGAAACGGGATTATTTATTTAAGATCAGAGTCCCCACTTGGGATAATTTATGGTGTCCCAAGTCACCGATTTTAAATCCCGAATCGAGGAAAGATTGACTCTGTTTACAGTCCGCGAACACAGAAATCCGGGTAAGGAATTCTGTTAACACGGGAGAAGGTGTTAGGCATTCCTGGGTTCCGTGGTTTTAGCACGGTCGCTTAACTGTTACTATTGGCCTATTTATTTGATTTTAAAACATATTTGAAATCTATGTGCATTTTATTCTTTTTAAACCGCCTTTAATAAATTAGTGTTACATATTGCGAATCATGTCACGGGAACCGTACCCACGATCTACAACATGTTTATTTTATTAACAAGATTAAATTGTGGTCGGGTGACATAAATGTACCCCCGGATTTAGAAATTAGGCATCACAACTACGTCACAGGAACCGTACCCGTAGCCATGACAATTATTCAATTAACGCGCCTAAAGCAAAGCTACGAGAGTTCAAGGCATTTTCTACACTAGTTATGAATGTTCCGAGCGGACAAAATAAAGCTAGAACTAACATAAGAACATATACAACAATACTTAGATCCATTTAATTATATCTAAAGCCTAAATCACAGTCTTGTTTCAAGATAATGTCTGTTTTAATTCTAATTTGTATAACCAAACCCAACAACTCAAAACCAATTCATATTCCATGTTCCAAATTAAAGAATCAGTAATTCTAACATAGCAACTACTCTACTAAGAATACACTAACACACAAACGATAATTTCAATCATGGGAACGCTTCATGAAGTCCTTCGTTAAACGACAAATTTAGGAGTCATATAATTTATATAATTATAGCACTACAAAAAAACAAAACCAAAATAAAAAGACACTAATCACATACTTTACTGCATGCAATGTAACTATAGAATCCAAGCAATTATTTATGAATGACAACACACACGATTTCAAAAACGTAAATGAAAAGAAAAAAAAAAAGAGATTCCGAGAATAAAACTTTAACCGAAAACAATGTTTATACAGCAACAACGTTAATCAAAGATGAACTAGAAACCGAATCTGATAATAGCACCTCGATTGCGTATCAAATCTGGACCGAAATCGGCGACCCGAACTGATTCAACTCGACTGGATTTGGGTAGCGATTTCGAGCTGATTTCCACGCGGATTTGGTGTAGTTTCAGGGAGTTTTGGAGCTGAGTTTACCGCTGGGTTCGAACTCAGTTTCCCCGGACTCAATGGAGGGTCATCGGAGTTACAAGATGAAGAAACCGTTGGAAATTTTCGATCCCTCCCGTTTCTAGCTGCTCAGGTCTTTTGCTTTTGGATAAGAGGAAGATGATGTAGCCCTAGGGAGTTCTATTGTTTTGGCTGCAGAAGAAGATCCAATCCGCTGGGTGGGGGAACTTGTGTGTCTATTGCAGCTGATTTTTCAGCCCTTTGGTCCCTATCGGCGCTAGCTCTAGGCTTTTTCTGAAGAAGATGAAAAATGGTGTGGGTCGGTTCTTTTCCTTGGTGTAACGGCGGATTTGGTCTATTAGGCGCCTAGGTCTCTAAGTCTATTTTTTGTTCTTGTGTATTTTCAGCTCTTTTGCCTGAGGTCCCTTTTCAGATTTTAGGCGTTAGGTGTTAGCCTCTTTTTTATAGGTTTAGGGTTTTAGGGTTATATTTAGGTTAAGGGGTATGGGCCTAGGAATTATGGGCTTGGGAATTATGGGCTAGGTCCAAAAATTAGGCCTAAAAATGGGTTGCTTGAGCCCAAATTTTATTCTTTCTCCGTGAACAAGACTAAAAATACGATCTCATTTATTAATTAATCCTACTTAAGTAAAATAACTATTAAAATAAGACTGACCGTTAAAACAAAACTATTTTTGGTATTTTTCAAGATTGAAAATGGCTACAAAACATTAATGAAACTATTGTTTTTGTAATTTTTATTTTCTTGTAATAAAATAAAGTAAAAGAGTCTAAATTAGTTGAAATAACGATATTAGGCCTAAATTAAATATTTACATGCGAAAATACAAAAGATCTTGGGGAGGGTCAAAAATCACATGTCTACAGCTGCCCCTCTTTGACTGGAAACGCGAAGAGTTTTCAGACAAAGAACGACTAGACAGGTTTTTTGACCCGACCATTATTTAAGGAGACCAAAAACTAAGAGGAAGGAGAATGTGACCGAGCCCTGGTATCTGAGCTGCATACATATCCTTGGCTATAAAGGAATTAGGTCACGTGTAGTTCAGAAGTGAATGAGGGGATGGAGTATACCGAGGTGGAGAGCCGATCGAGGTGCCGTTCTGTCGAGGTCCCGATCCGCGGTCCTGTTATTACATCAAAAATCAAAAAAATGAAAAAGACTAGCTAAGCCTGTCAACTACGAGTTACAAGATTCCTTTCTATAAGTCTTCTGAAGCTTGATTTTGAGTCTTGAATGGTTCTTCATGCCGACTTTGGATTTGAACCTTGACGCTTGCTAGTTGCAGGTGCTAGTTCATTCTTCTTCAGCTTTTCGGATCAGAACCGGACATACCATGCTTGTGACTTCAGTCATGTCTTCAGCAGCCCACATCTTTCATCGACTTTTGCATTTGGATTCACTTCTTGCCTTTCTTTTTTTTTATTTTAGATTGTGACTAACTTTCGTTGATCATCTCGGACTGTTGACTCGCATTCTTGCTGCGAGTTTCTTTTGTTGCTGACTTGAATTCCATTCTGAAGTGAATTCCCTTATTCTCCAGGTAGGTGCCTGATTGCCAATACTCGAACTGTCTTCCTTCGAAACTTGGACTGCCTTCTCCTTGTTCTCCAGGTGGGCGCCTGATTGCCAATACTTGCACTATTTATCCTCAAAACTTGAACTGTCTTCCCTTGTTCTCCAGGTGGGCGCCTGATTGCTGAACTTGAACTGTCTTCCTTTGAAACTACTTTCCTTTGAAACTTGAACTGTTCTCCCTTGTTCTCCAGGTGGGCGCCTAATTGCTTGAACTTCGAACTGTCTTCCTTTGAACATTGCTGCTTTCCCTTTGTTCTCCAGGTGGGCGCCTGATTACCAACATTTGAATTGTCTTCCTTTCCTTTGAAACTTGAATTGTTTTCCCTTTATTTTCCAGGTGGGTGCCTGATTGCAACAAAACAGACAAAACAAAAGAAATTTTTTTGCCCCAGTTTGATATTGGGAACATCTGTGAGTGTTAATCGAATCATGGTACCCAAAAGCTCTAAGAATTGAAAGGCTAAATCTCATTATCCAGGAGGGTCCTGAAAATTTAAAATTAAATCTCATACTTCCTAAAGGTAAAACTTACGCTAAATCTTATTACCTATGAAGGTCTTAAAAACTTAAAACTAGATCCTATTATCCAGGAGGGTGTTGAGAACCCCTTCTTTCTTTTTAAATTAAATCCCATTATCCAGGAGGGCCCTGAAAATTTTAAATTAAGTCGCATTATCCAAGAGGGTCCTGAGATTTTTTAAATTAAATTCCATTATCCAGGAGGGTCCTGAAAAGCCGAGAATGAACTTACCTGAGCCATGCTTTCTTCCTGGAGGATCTCTGCAGAACGAACGAAATTCCTTGCCCCTGAACCATGCTTTTCCTCATGGAGGGTTCCTGCAGATCGAACAAATTTTCCTTTCCCTTTCTCAAACCGCCTTTGTGCTGACAAAATTTAGGCACGACACTTGAAAAAATTCAAACTCCCAAGCTTTGATTTGGACACAATTTTCGTCCCTGTTTCAAATAAAGAAAACTTGTGAGTTTATAAATATGGTGGTTGGTTTGTGGCCTTGACTTTGAGGGCGATTACTCCTTCACTTCCCATGATAACTTCGATTTCAACTCGAAAGTCCTTGCCTGTTTATTGACTGACCACTTTCTCTATCACCCTTATCACGGAGAATACCTCTGATCCGTTCAAACCCAATACCATTCATCTGTTGCATTGTGCTCATGCATTGACATATACTGAACCTTTGTGTTTCACATAAATCCCAAAGCACGTCAATTGCCACCCACTCAGTGCGCATGCTGTTCTTTCCTGGCTTAAACCACTGGCCTTGGCCTTGAGGTCTATTGCTCTTTCACTTGCCATGATAACTTTGATTTCCGCTTGGAAGACCTTGCTTGTCACTGGTTAACCACTTTCTTTGTCAATCTTATCACAGAAAATACCTTTGATCCGTTCACCCACCACCCTCCATCTGTTGCATTGTTCATGAATTGACATATACCAAACCTTTGTATTTCACATGAATCCCAAAGCACGTTGATTGTTACCAACTCAGTGCGCACGCTGTTCTTTCCTGACTTATGCCACTCTGATGTGCTAACCAGATCCCGTTTTGTGCAATTGGAAGGTTGGTGGAAAATTTTGAAGTCATTTCTCACTTGTTTTGCCCAAACAGACTCAGGAAGAGGAAGTAAACAGGACAAAAGGAACGGAGTAAGGGACAATGGAAAGAGATGATTCCTAACAAGAAAACTACAAAGTAGAAACTTATCAGATGAGGATACCAACTCTAATGACCATGACATGCACCTTTGGATTAAGTGGCCTAATCTGTCAAGCAAGTCTGATGTTCAACTCTTGTTATACCCCTAAATCGTGAAACTGGGCTTCAATGCTTCGAGTATCCAATCTGATTGACAATCCTTATTTGACTTGTAGTGCCCGAAGGGTTTTCACCATCAAGCCTCTCTCATTTTGTTCTTTTTCTCAACTCACCATCGCCTTATGGTGCCTGTGAAGGTTTTCATCAATAAGACTCTCTCATTTTGTTCTTTTCTTCTTATTTCCTCTGATTCTGCAGATGACAAGGCATTAACCATGGTAAAAATATTATATGCCCCTGGCATGTCTAACTCGGCACTCTCAAAGATTATCCGGGAGGTCTTTTTTTGGACTGTGATGTNATAAAGGCTCAAAGTAACTATGACAACGAGGTTAATTTATTTACAACTTTTGGAATCCATTCTAAAAACTTTGCCCCAATTTCTAAAGCAAGGGAATTTGATTCTTTTCTTTTTGAGATGGAATTTCTGCTCACTCTCAACTTCGTGGATCATGAAATATTTTATTTGGTGCGACCGAACCGTGAGGCTGCCTACTTATCTTGTGGTGACAAGAATCAGGTCGAACGTAGTTCACAACGATACGTTTTGTTGTTGCTATTTTTCTTTTCTTTTGTTTCTTTTTTTTCTTTTCCTCTTGTTTTTTTTTTTTTTTTGCTTTTTTTTCTTCTTTTTTCTTATTTTTTTCTTTATCTCTATTTTCTCTCTCTCTTTTTTTTTTTGAATTTTCCTTTTGGAATGAACTTTCTAAAACAAACCTATGAAGACATGAACTCTTCTTTTTATTTCGTATGACTCTAACTTGATTCCAAAAGAGGGGAGGTCAAAGAAATCAGTACAGACTCAAAGGGGTATCAAATGGTATAAGTGTTTGGGTAGCTGAAAGAGGGCCTCCCAATCCCTGAAAATGCCAAGTACAACACATGCAGCTTGAAATGAAAATTGAAGATCATGCACAATATTTCTTTTGCGGCTTCGGCATTGGTATCACTGATATGCCTTCCACTTTTCTTTAGCGCCTACAGAATCCTCGTTGGGTGATTCTCTCTTCACAATGGATATCCTTCGTTAATTCGGAGAAAACTTCCTTGACTTTATCTTGTAACTTGAGATGCACTTGAACTCAAAGTCGCTTGCTTCAAATCGTCCGGGGTGCACTTTCCCTTAACGAATTCTTGTCACCCTATTAACTTTCCAGATTATCTGCCCCAGTTTCACACAATTCAGGATTTAAGTGGTCTCAAAATCCCTTTACTTACTTCCCACAAATGTCCCAATCATCTTCAAAATTGTTTCATTGCTTCATGACTAGGCTAACTTTTAAGACCAGGCCTAGAATTATGCGTGCATGTCATGTCACTGGAGCCAACATGAAAAGAACTATAAAAGGAGAAGAGAACTAAACAAAAAATGACTAGAGATAACAGAAAGCAGAAAATTGTATTAGACAGACGGTGAAAGGGTTTGAACAACGAGACAAACAAAACAAACTGGGGTTACGACCCTGGAAAAACCTAAATAACACTAAAAGGGGTACTACGACTAAATGAACTAGGAAGAATAAAAGGATAGAAGGGTTTGAGTCACAAGACAATATCCGGATTACAACCCTGAAAATAACCCGGACAACAGAAATTACAACAAAATAAACAACCAAGACTCCTCCCCGGCTAGCCAAGAGATGGAGCGTCTTTCCAATTACCAAGCTCGACATCTTAGCCACTGAGTTCCACATCAATATCACTGGGACCTTCACCAACTTCAATCACATTGTCTTCACCAAGTGGCTCATTGACTCCTTTGACCAACCCTTCGTCATTGCCAACCACCCCAACAATCTGTGTGTTGTCGTGTGACACATGGGGTATTACTGCCTTGGACCACAATTATTCCTTCTTGAATCATTCTTTCTATTTCCCTTTTCAAAGCACGACAATCTTCAATGATATGCCCTTGGACATTAGAGTGGTACATGCACCGTACAGTAGGATCAAATCCTTTTGCATATGGGTCCGGAGTATAGCCGAGGAGTGTCTTAATCAGGCCAGAATGTTTTAACTTCTCAAACAAGCTTGTGTAGGACCCCCCCGATTAGCGTGAAACTATTTCTTTGCCTTTGTTCCCCTGTCTGCCCATGTTTTCTAGGGTTGTTGGATGCTCAAAAATGCTGTGAAGGCACACGAGAATTTTGGGATACTGGTGCTCGCCCTAGGGAGTGACCTAGTGGTTGGACAGATGGTCGGACTTTGTTCGGAGGATAATACTGGGGTGGATTATGTGGAGCTCGGGGAGGTTCATGGGATCGGTATTGAGGCTGAAAGCATTTAGCAAGAATGCCCACTGGATCCTGTCGTTGGCGGTGCTCAGCAACATCTTTTCTATCAATGGGAGGACTGTCCCTAGCAACTTGTTCGTTCCATCTGAACCAAAATTCCCTAAAACTTTCTTTGGGTTTCTTTTCCATCTGAGATAGGGAGGAGCGGTCTGGGACAATGTCTATATTATACTGAAAGTTTCGCACAAAATCTTGAGCCATATCATCCCATGTATGTCACCTACCGACACCTTGACGAGTATGCCATTCCAAAGCTGCCCCACTCAGGCTCTCACTGAAATATGCCATCAGCAACTCATCTTTCCCGCCAACACTTATCATTTCACTGTAATAACCCCTCAGATGGGCTACCGGATCTCCACGCCCATCATACAAGTTAAACTTTGGCATTCTAAACCCCGCGGGCAGGCGAACGTCAGGGAACATACACAATTCATTGTAAGACATGTTAACCTGGTCTCCCATCCCTTGCATGTTCTTTAAGGACTATTCTATGCTTTTCACCTTCCTGGATATCTCATCTCGCCCTTCTTTTCCTGTGGCCTTTTCATTTTCAGCATGAGGCTCATTCCGAGGGCTTTGCTTGTATGAGTCAGGAACCTTATGGGCAACCTCTGAGGGGTAATATTGGGCATCATGAGCTTTGAGTGGGTATTCATTGTTGGGGATAGTGGATATGATAGGAGGGCAATTTTGGGGAAAGGTAATTGGAGGACGAGTGATGGAGCTACTAGGGTGGTTGGGAAAGCTGTGATAAGCGGGTGGATCTGGAGAGTATGGGGGGTCATCTGGCACTATGACCGGAGTTTGGGTAAGGGTAGCATCTAAGAAGCTAGGTGGTGGCGGGGGTGGTGCCTTCCCATTCATCCAAGCCTGGTACATGTCCGCCATGTGTTGTCTTAACATCCTTACCTCTTCAACCAACCCATTGCCATGTTCAACCAATTGCTTTTGGGTTGTCATACTTTGTGCCCCAGGATCTCCATAACCCAATTTCTTTGCCCAATCACTGACCTTGTTCGGTCTGCGGTGGCCTGAAGGGTTTTCACCGATAGACCTCTCTCATTTGTTCATCTCTCAACTCACCGTCACCTTACGGTGCCCGTGAGGGTTTTCACCAATAAGACTCTCTCATTTTTTCATTTTTCCTACTTAAACCGGAGTGTTGCCCCTGATATGAATCACCTCTACTTGCTTGACTTGGCATCTCTCGAAGACTGATCGGAAGGTCTTTCTTTGGACCGTAATGTGGGCTTTTGGATAAGGTTACAAAGAAATGATATCAAAAGGCTCAAAACAACTCAAATGGGTTCAAAATTACAACTCTTGGAATCAGATTTCTTACAACAACCACAACTTCCTGCCCCAGTTTCTTTGCTTGGGGGCTTTTGGATTTTTATTTTGATGGGATCGAACCATGAGGTTGCGTACGTATCCTTAAAAGGAATCAGGTCGAACGTAGTTCATGCTATAGGAATTGCTTTGTTCTTGTTACTATTCTCTTTTCTCTTTCTTTTTGTTTTTTTTCTTTTTTTTTTCTTTTAAATAAAAAAATGATTCGATCGAACTCTATGTGGGTTGCCTATGTATCACGACGCCGCATGAATCAGATCTTTGCGTAGTTCTGGAAAATCGAAATTAAAGTAAACAAACTAACGTTCTCTTTTTCTTTTCTTTTTCTTTTTACTTTAATGACTACTCTGATGAGAAAAGAGAAACAAAAGAAGCAAATCTCTTTTTTTTTTAGCTTAAC